ACGAGATCTATATATGATAAACAGGAAAAATAATTTCCTCATTTATGGTATTCAGGACAGAATCAGAGAGAGAGAGGAAGAGAAATTCTTTAATCAAATTGATTATTTTTTAATTAAATCTATCGAATTTTGTTTATTTGATTTTGACAAAAATAAAACTTTCCTTGTTTATAATGATGAACAGAATTTATTTATTCAAAATTTTTATTGGCTTCCTCTGTTGGAAAGAATCTGTTTTTTTTTTTTTTTGTTTTTGATCAATTCGATTTCATAAAACATCATCATCATCATCATCATCCTGATAGATAATCGGCTTTTCCTGAATTTTTTTTTTATATTTCCACTGGAGTTTTATTTTTAGTTAGACATTTGAAAAAAAAATAGAATCATCTTATTTTTTTTTCTTTCATATGTATGTGAGTTCATTTTTAATTTTGTTTCCGTGAAACATTTCTTGTTTTGTTTAAAAATTTCATTTTTAAATCCTAAATGATGTATAGATAGATAAATAGATAGATAGATAGATAGAAAAAGAGAAATGGAAAAAAAATTACAAGGAAGAAAAATCTTTGCACAAAAAACCAAAAATAATAAATAAATGGAAAAAATTTTCCAGAAAAGAAAAAATCAATAAATATGAACAAAACATGAAACATCAGAATCTGGATATGAATGAAAAAGACATATTTATGTGTATGTGAAGTGATTTTATTATTGGCAAATCATCCAGAATATTCAATATGATAGAAATTATAATAGCTGTCTCCATTGCTATTGAGTTTTCAAATAACAAAAATTTTTTTGGTCAATCTGATGATGATAACAACATTATTGTAAATGATGATTTTGTTGTTGCCGGTATTTGTTTGATGATAATTGTGTGTGTGCGTGTTGTTGTTTTTTTTCGGGAGGGGAGGGGTTGTGCCAAAATGAATCGATGAATTGATTTTATTCGTGACAATCTGAATGATGAAAAAAAAATCCATTAACGTAAATATTTTTTCCCTTTTCTCTCTCTCTCTCTCATTTTGTAGTCAAATTAAAGCAAAATATCAATCAAATTGTTTTATTTGATAGAATTATTATTAATCAAATCTGGTTATTATGTAGAATTTTTGTTGTTGTTTTTGTACGTACTTATTCCATATGCAAGCAAAAATTTAATTGAATTTCCAGATGAAATAATGATAGATGGTCGAATGATGTTATCCAATTAGTTTATATGGGAGGTACATTTTTTTTTGTTTTTTGTTTTGTTTTCGTTTTTCTCTCATCAATTCTCTACATTCATCGAATGAATTGATTGATTGTTTGTTTATGTGCAAACTTTACTGTGATTCAATAAACAAATTGTCTCTATGTTTTTGTTTTTATTTGCATATAATCATAAAAATGTATGGACAGAAATTTTGGAAATTCTTGATTGTTTTTTTTTTTTTTTTTTGTTGTTCTCATTTTTCTAAATGTAAAACTCTTTCGATGATTTCAACTTCGATGGTCATTTAATTAATGGACCATTTTTTTATGGATTCATTTTGATTATTAATTTGATATGAATATAAGTGGATGATGCAGCAAAGCTTTTTTTCTGTTTTCTTGTTTTTTCTATCATTCTTATCATTAATTCTATAGAACAACAATCGATTCATAATCAATGATGGTTATTACCATCGGTTAACCCATCATCTCATGATCGAACAGAAGGCAAAAGATAACACTGTAATGGAAATTGTTTTTTTTTTTTTTCACTCGAAATTTTCAATTTTTTTCAATCAATGTGAATGAAAAATGAGAAAACAACAACAACAACAACAACAAAAATTTTGATGGAAAAAAATTCGAAAAAATAAAATGCAATAAAGTGAAACGATCATTCGTTCCTGGTATGATTCCGATACCAGTAACGGTGCTGTGTTTCCTCTGTGAATATATTGAAATCAAGATCGAAAATAGATTCACTGAATATTGAAGAAAAAAAAATCTAATTCAAAATGATAGACACGTATACGATTTTTTCCCCTGTTTTTTTTTTTTTGGTGATTCGGAAATAATGTCAAGTGATTTTCCTGAATGTTTGTCGACTTTTTTCTTTTTTTTTTTTCATACAACCAACTGGAATGGTTGGTAGTTGTTTGGTTCGATTTCAATTTCTGTTTTTTTGACTTTCTATTCAGTAGTATTAATAGACGAAAAATAGTAGAAAAAATTCCAAGTAAATAAATAGAATTTTTCATTTCCTTCCTATTTTTCTTTCATTCATCTATCGATGAGAATCAATGAGAATTTTGCGGCCTGAGGCTTTTCATTATACTTTTCATCGATGAATAGTTTATAACCTCAGTCTTTGATTGAATTTTTTTTTTTCATTCGTTAGACAATCTGTCATTAGTTGGATTTTTTTTTCTTCAATGAATGATAATTTGTGATATTTTGATGGTTAAAATGTCAATTAATTTCTGATTTATCTTTTTTTTTTTGTTAATTGTGAATGAATGAATCGTTCGGATAATCATCATTATTCATTTATCATTTATTCTTGAATGTTCATCATCATCATTGTTTTTATATACATAATTGTAAGCAGAATTTTTTTTTCTGTGTTTGAATGTTGTCGCCATTTTATTTGTCGATTTGTTTATTCTGTATCTCAAAAACGTTTAAGTTGTTTTTTTGTTTTGTTGTTGTTGCTGTTTGTTGTGTATTTTTGTATCATCCTATTATGACCATCTGGAAATTCATTCTTGACTTTGTGATCATCATCATCATCATTATCTCCCTTACACAAAAAAAAATGATTCCCATCATTGGAAACTTGAATCCGGAAAGAAAAAAAAATATCTGTTTATTTACTATGATTATCATTGGTGTTGTTGACATCAATTCCTTTTTGTTGTTGTTGTTGTTGTTGTTATGCATCCATTTATAATATTCTGATGGTTTGTTAGTGTGTGTGGTTTGTTTTTTTTTTTTTTTCTGGTTTTTGTTTGTTTGTTTGTTTGTTTGTCAATTCTATAGAATTAATGCATTCCATCCATTCATACACATGAGAGATTCACATTCCATTTTTATTGAGAATATATTATGAATCGAATTGAATGATTGTGTTTGGTTAATATTTGCATACTAGAATATTCTTATTATTATTATGAAAAATATGACTCCATATTTCCAATATGTGTGGATGTCATTCTGTTAGTTGTTAATTATTCATCCATCTTGATTCTATACAATACTATTATCGTTATTATTCCATTTGGTATGAATGAACAGCAACAGCAACAGCAAAAAAAAATATACTTGAATATTTATTATAAGGAATCCACACGTCACACATATGGATAGATCATTTTTCTTGTTGTATTCGATAATCGATTCCATTGATATCCTAAATAAATAGTTCTTTGATTTTTTTCCTTCCAATCTTAATAATGAAAAAAAATCACACTTTATTCTTCTTTCTATTCTGGTGTACAGCAAATCTTATATTAATAATTTAGTTCGTGTTTGAACTAGAGAAATTAATTCAAATTTTGCGATCAATCCAGAAATGAAAAAAATAATTCAACTAATCCCTTTTTCTGAAAATAGAATTAGAATCCACTTGATTATGATACTAAACTCGATTGTTTGTTTATCGGTTAGGCTAACGAAAATAAAAAATCCAATCAATCAGTAATGGAAATACAAAAATACAACAAAAACAAATCCTCATGAATGTAATATGACCAATGACAACAAACCATTGAATAAAATTCTTTAGTCATATTCACTGGAAATGAATGATTCGAATGTTGAATTCATTATTCGAAAAGCAACAACAAATTCTTCCTGTTTGTCTTGAATTTTCATCAAGAAAAAAAAGACAGAAATAATTCAAAACATGGTATCTAAATATTTACATTGTTTTTCATTGGATTGATTGTTGTTCATTGTTTTTTTAATCTCCAAGCATTTTTCAAATCAATCAAAAAATTGTGCATACTACCATAAGATTCGAATGTTGAAAATAATTCGAAAAAACATGATTTACATTGTTTTTCATTGGATAGATTGTTGTTCATTGTTTTTTTAATCTCCAAGCATTTTTCAAATCAATCAAAAAATTGTGCATACTACCATAAGTAATGGTGACATTGAATGGTGTTTCATGAATCATCATGTATATCAAATTTCTTCAGTTTGCTTAGTTTCGAAACAATTTTTTCCATTAGCCATAGTTTTTTTATCTGTTTGTTTGTACATTTCAAAATGATGATGTTTGATTTAAAAACTGAAGGATATTAGAAATGGCAAAAGAATTGTGATTTTTTTTTTTGGTTATGAGTAGCGAGATAGCGAGATAACTTGAAGTATTGAATAACCGTCAATTTAGGCTGTTGGTATGTGTGAAATTTCCGTTTAAAATCGATAACAGATATATGTGGCCATTCGTTGTTGATTAGTTTGAATCCTTTCATTTTCCATGAGTATGATCGATCTATCGAATAAATGAAATTTTTTTCTACCATCGTTACTGGTTACTGTACTGATTGGCCACATTTTTTATCGATCAATTATCAACAACAATTTCGATATGTCTGGCCAAAAAAGATAATTTTCAATTGAATATCATATTCATTATCTAGATTCTAGATATTGCTGTTTGGTATATATTACATACACATGATTTTTTATCGATAATTCTATTTCACAAAATAATGTATCGGTCAAAACCGATCGATTCAATTGAATTTTTCATTGTCCATATAATTTATTATAACCACCGTATTTATGTTTCGTTATTTATTTGTTGTTGTTTTTTGTGGTTTCTTTTCAAGATACAAAAATGAAAAAAAGAATAAAAAATTTGCCATTACCATTGAATGTGTAACATGATGATGAAATACATTGCAAATTGAATTTTTTTCGACATTCGTAAATTATCGATTCTCATCGCATACTTTTGTTTTTATTTATTTTTTTCCATTCCATTTCCCTTTCAACATTATTTGCAGCAATTCAACCGATAAAATTAAATTCTGTTTTGTTTTTGTTCATTTTCTCAAACAAAAATCGAAAAAGAATCTTCTGCAACATTAATTTTCCTGTGTAAGAGAAAAAAAAATAAATGATAAATAATCTGTCCACCATTCTATTGTTGCTAGTGCCTACAGTAATCATATCCACTACGAATTATCATAAATCAAATCATTCATTGTTTGATGATGAATTAAACACCATGATGTCGACGATCAAAACTACCGATAATTATCATCATCATCATTATCATCATCATCAACATCATCATCATAATCAACAACAACATGAACTAATGTCATTATATTTGGCTGGAAAAAACTTCACTGAATCTACAACATCCGGTACGATAATTCCGGAATTACATATGAATTTGACGATAATTGAAAGATTTATTAATATTGTCAATGATAATGCTATTTCATTACCATCATATCCGGATCGACAAATATCGGCAACCGGAATTCATGGCAGCGGCAGCGGTGATGATCAATTTCGTAGAATCGATCGACTTGTAGAAATGTCGTATACATTCCGTACGGTTATGGTCGTCATCTATATGTTAACAGCTTTTGTTGCCTTTATTGCCAACATAATGGCCATATTAATATTAAACTATGGTCGCCGTACTAGTCGTCAATTGAATTTATTCTTATCTAATCTCGGCCTCAGTGATATTATCTTTGCCATATTCAACATTCCATTTACATATATTACATTAATTTATAATACATGGTGGCTACCGGAATTTCTTTGTCCATTAACCAGTTTTGTACAGGTATTGGCACCAACTGTTGCATTTTATACACTCATTGCCATTGGTATTGGTCGGTAAGTCAAATGTTTTACATTTTTTTTTTCATTGTAATTGAATTTTATTACATAATCATAATCAAATCAATTGGATCATAATGACGACATTTTGAAATATTGTCAAAACACGAATGTTATCACCAACATTTTAGTGCTTCTATTATAAAAATTGGTGATGTTTCTGAATATTTTGCATCTTTTTTTTTCTTTAGAAAAACTAATCCATTTATATGAATATATAAACAACCAATCATCATCGTTGACAATTTCCAATGAATAACAAATGATCGAATCTTTCATTGATGAAATGTCAGATTTTTTTTCTCTTTGCTTGACAATCGAACGATTTCTTGGTGCAAAAGAAAAGAAAAAAAAAGAAAAAATAAATATATATGAATCATTTGATTTGATTTCATTTGAATTGCCATTTGTTTAATTTTGCTATTTTGATCTGTTTTTGTCAATGGTGTAGGTTTGAATTCTTATTCTTTTCTCAAATATTCTTGTTTTGATTTTTTTTTCGAATCCATTTCATAAATCAAACTTTGTGTTTGTGTTTGTGCGTGTGTGTGTGTGTTTATATCGAAACACAATGGTGTTAACAACAAAACAATCAAGCCATTGATTCTATAATCTGAAAAAAAGAATTTTATTCATTGGAAAATCTATTTTTTCCTACTTCCTATTTGTTTGTTTGATTCCATTTTTTTCAATCTCTCTCTCATTTGAATTGAAGATGATTGCGACTGCATCATGTTGTTCAATGCTGATAAATTTAAAAAAAAAATATTGTGAAACGAAATTAGTTGAAAGAAATCAATGAAGATAGTGGTGGGCGTTTTGAATTTTTATTCTCTCTCTCTCTCTTTATTCTATTCTTCATATCGATCATATAGATCCATAAATGTGTGTGTGGTGTGTGTGTGTTTGTATGAATGAAAAATTCTGTATTGGTTGAATTATCGTTATTATCATTGTACACGCCTTTTTATTTGGCATTTACTATCAATTTATTATTGGCGTTGATTTTTTTTGTTTTAAAGTATGGCTGGTTCAAATTCGAATTCCATTGAAAAAATAAATCATTAAATCAAAAAAAAAAAAAAAAAAATTCTATATCCGATTATAAATCGCTTTTGATGTGTTTGTTTTATGTATTTTATTGAGATTGGATTCCTTTTTTTTTTTTGGTTCATATCCACAAGTTATATTGTTGTTTTTGAAGAAAATTGTCTACGATCGTTAGTTAGCGATTAAATTTTTTTTTTTTTTTTTTTTTTTGATTTTTCAAATTTATTTTCTGATTTTTCTTTCGATAATTAGATCCAGTAAATCTTTGTACAACTTTGTTATCATAAAAATTGTCTGACATTTGCAGGCATAATAACTGAATAACTTGGTGATGACCATGGTATTGTTTGTTTTCCCGTTGAAAACGAGAAATGATTTTTGTTTCGTTGCGAAATAAAATTTTATATATGGCCCAATTTGTTTCATAAATATTTTCCAACAGATCCATTGTCTTTGACATTTTTGAATATTGTTGCATTGTTTTTGTTTTCATCTCTTCTAAAAATGAATTTCAAACTCGAGAATTTCATTGTGCTTGTATGTATGTGTGTGTGTGTGTATGACATGATATGATTTTTTAAATGATGAAAAATTAATTAATTAATTAATAATGGTATGTAATATTTGAAGAAAAAAATTCATGAATAGAACATACCTGCATATCTATTACATGCACGCACACTTGAATCATTTTTCATATGTTCATGTGATAATTTAAATACAATATAAACACATAATAAAAACACTTGCGAATATCATCATCATCATCATCATCATAAACAATGTTGTTATTCTGTTTGTTATTGTGTAACAATATATTGTTAAAATAGTGCCAACATATCAACATTCGGTTTGGCTATCATCATAATGATGATTCATGAATGTATACATTTGGATTATCATACAATTCAATATATGCAATATATCATTAAAACTTCCATGAAGGTATTATGTAAGGTATCATGTATCATCACCATCGTCATCAAAAAAAAAATGTTCATGTTCATTCAAATTGTTTATATGAATTTGTATGAGTTTGTTTTTCATTGTGGTATTATAGTATATATTTAATTATTGTTGTTATATAATTTTTCCATCATAAGAATTATTATTTTCATTTTTTTTTCGAAAGGTTTTTTTTCCTCGTCAAACACACAATATAACCATAATTATTATGATGATGATGATGATGATGAATAACACACCTGGATCGATTGATTTCAATTGTTTGGCTTGTCAATTTTTGTGAAAAAAAAAATTAGTCTGGCGTCGTCAAAAAAAAAAAAAAAGTTTGAAAGTTTTATTCTTTTCTTTTTAATAAACGGGTTAAATATTTAGCTTCATTATCAATGGCTACTTTTTTTTATTTCAAGCTGTTTGTAATTTATGTATTCGAGATGACGACTGAAAACTTTACTATTTTTTTCATGCTATTTTTTTATGGACTTATTCTTGATGGACCCACACCCAATCAAAGGCCAGACGCGGACACACACACACACAAAAAAAACTGCAACAGCTGCAACATTTATTTGGCCAATTTGTCTGATTAGAATTTTTTTTCCAGATCAAATCGAAAGTTTTTTCTGTTACTAATTTACTGTTTTTTTTCTCTGTTATTTATTTTTTTCATCAAATAGATATTACGTCATTGTAACTGGACAAGAATCACTTTTCCTCACGAAATCTAGCCACACCAAATTGGTCATTGCATTTATATGGATAATGTCCTGTTTTGTTGCATCGCCCATCTTAATTGCAACGAAAATTTCACCAGTAATCTATGTAAATGAAACATATGTCGAATGTACAGAAGATTGGAGTTTTCTTGATCCTACAAATAGCCATTCAATAGGAACAATTTATACGATCATTGTATTCGTCATGACATTCATATTACCGGTGGTTGCTTTAACCTATCTTTATGGTCATATTGGTTTGATTGTTTATAAACATAAATTTCCTGAAGGAAATGATAATCGTGTCACAAATCAGAATCTAACTCAAACTAAAGTTAAAGTAAGTTTTTTTCTCAATTGTAAAAATTCATACATTTCTATTCCAAAAAAAAAACTAAACGTATGGGGCCTTATTCTTTTGTAATTCGATCCAAACATCAATGTTTTTTGACCTTTGAAAATGTTTCCATGGAGAAATGTGCCGTCCCCATTATCAAGAGTCAGACGATTATTCTCTCTAAACCAATGTTTTTTAATCAAAAAAAAGTTGAAAACCACTGCTGTAAATAATTGAATTTCAATAAATCGAATTGACAAAAAAAAATAATGTACATCATCATCATCATCATCATCATTATCATTATCATCATGAGGCTTTATTCTTCATACTTTGGTCATGTTATGGTAGTCATGGAATTTTTATTCCACTCACCAATACGTCATTGGTCGTTGGATTTTTATTTCACCACAAACAAACAAAAGAAAAAAAACAAACAAACAATTCGTAATTAATATGATTACAAAAGGAATGATTATTATGAAATGCGGATGTTGATCACTAATGTTGACTAATGAAATTCCCAAGTCATTGGTGGTGGCTGTGGTGGTGGTGGTGAATGTGAACAACATAAAAAAAAGATGTTTATTATGACAAATTCCTTTTTTTATTCTTTGCCTGCTTCACATGATTCAAACATGGTAGATCTATTTATATTCATGGAAAAACATTTACATTACAGAATATAATCTCGCTCATTATATCATTGCCATTCAATTCCAATATTGACATTCGAATCAAATAATGCATATTGTACAGTCAACAAGATCTTACGGCGCCTCTCTCTCTCTCTCTCTCTCTTGAATCGATGAAGAATTTGAAATACCTATAATGATTCCCTCGGCGATTAAGTGAGCCAATCGAAAAAAAACAAAATAAAATGAAAATCAGATTACATGCAAATAAAAAAAGAAGAATTGACCCAATAATTCCAAGAAAGAGGATTATTCATTTAAACATATTGCTAATCTTTCTTCTTTTTTTTCTTGTTTCCTTATTTCTTATAATAATTTTTGATTAGGTGCTCAAAATGCTTTTATTATTGGTGATCTCATTCATAATATGTTGGAGTCCTTGTCAAATATTCTATCTAATGCTTTGGATTTTCGAAGATATACGCCAAGATCCTAATGCTATCGAAATGGATGATAATGATGATGTTGTTGCTGATGCTGCTGCTACTACTGCTAGCTATTATTCAATCATTTATTATTCTATTTATTTCATTTCACATTGGTTAGCTTGTTCACATACAATTATGAATCCATTCATCTATTGTTTTTGTAGTAATAATTTTCAGGTTTGTTTTATATATAATCTTATAAAGAGAAACAAAAACATGTGATAATCTTAATATCGATTCTTTTTCATTTTGTTTTTTTTCTAGATGACCGATCTGGCCGACATTATTTGCTGTAAAATTAATCGCCGTGATTCATGGATGAATCGATCGATGCATTCACATACAAATAATAATAATAACAATAATAATAATCATAATAAAAAAATGATAAAATTCTCATCGTCATATAGAAAATCTGATCAACAACAAAAATGGAGTGTAGAAGATTCACCACCACCAACACCATTAGCATCGCCAATGAAATTACCGATCAATGATTCGTTTATCATGCTCAAACCAAAAATTCCGATAGTAATAATAATAATAATAATAATTTTTTAACCTATCAAGTTTGACGTCAAAACGATAAAATGGATTTTTTTGTTGTTGTTGTTGCTTTGTTGGCAACCCTTTAAAAAAAAATTTCTGTCCTGTCAACATGTATCATATAATGATGAAATATTGAAATTCTTTTCACCAGTTTTATTTATCGATTTTACCACAATTTTATTTATATTATATATAAAAATCAAAATAAATTGAAATTTTTACAATGTTTTTTCGTTTAGTTTTGTTTATGACTTTTTTTGGTTCAATAGTTTTTCCTGTACACGGCTACGTCGTCGTTTTTCTTTACGTGCCGCTTTTGATCGTAATTTTGTGGCCAGATTTTTTTTACCACGTTTTCGTCGTATTTGTTGTTTTTCTGTTTGATGAATAGCATCGGATTCAGCTACTATTGGATTTTCTTCCTCTAAGACGTCGGCCGTTTTAGTTATTGATCGATATTTGTTGGATTTTTTCCTTTTCGTCTTTACCTTCGATCGTTGTATTGGTGCATTATCACAACGTTTTGCAAGAAAATCTGCGTCCAATGTTATTAATTCATAATTGATTTTTTCCAACAAGGATTTCACTTCCATTTCACGACGTTGAGATTTGGTCATGTATGGATTTGCTTCGAGAGCATCGAAATTCGCTTCACCAGAACCTGGAACCAATATTGATGTAAAACCATCCTGATGGCCAATACCAAGTACATCTTCAAAAGGACAAAATTGTAATGAGGAAATGACCGAAGTTCTTAATTCCATTCGATGTCGCATATATGGCTTATCAATTTTATCTGAATATCTATTGAAAATACTAACTTCATTCCCGGATCCAATCGCAAGTAAATTTTTCTGACTCAAGGTTATTCGCGATGGTGTTGATGGAACTCGAAATGTGTTCATACATTGATAATTACGAATGTCCCATATGCGAACTGATCGATCTGATCCGGTAGTAACCATAAATAGGCCTCGATTATCAACAGCGACATCTAGTACTGCCGAAGGGTGACAAAGTAGCCGCACCAATGGTTCATTATTATTTGGTGACCATAATCGAACTGTTCCGTTTGGATGTCCGGTGAATGTAATTGCATTATTTGGATTATGAGTAAGACAAGTAAGGCGTGGAACTTTCATTCGAAAATTTGCCACCAAATTACCGGTGGATATATCGAGCCAGGATAGAAATCCGTTGTCAGACGCAGCTACCAAGAGGAAATGATAAGGCAAGAAATCTAGCTCATATACACGATATAACCGTTTAAGGCAATGGATTTCGATTCCTTTTTCATCGTAAACATGGGTCCAATCAGCTTGAGCTACTGCAAACATGGTAGGCATATGTAACCATTTGATGGCGTGAACTGATTCACGAACATTAAATTCACAGCAAAGATTTTTGGAAATCCAATCGAATGCGGCTACATGACCATTTCGGCCACCAATCAATAGTTGACGGCCATTTCGAAAATAATCCAATTTATATGGGCCTAAATGTGGCAAATGCAGATCAAAATGTTTAGCAGCAGATGTTATATCCACAGATTTGACAATTTCTTTCTGTGTAATTTGATAAGTTTGTTCATTTGTATCGTCTGGTTCAAGATAACCACCATCTTCAACACAAAAATAAGGTATTTCTTTTTTGCCAAAAGAAACTTTTTTCAATTTACGAGCAGACATTTTTTCACTTTTAAAACAGAATTTAATCAAAACATAATGTCATAATAAAAAATCTTGGAACCACGTGCCAAAATCATGAGAAATTATTTCCGAAAAGTTTCTCTACGATATCGAGTTTTACGAACTGAAAAAATTTCCAAAAGTGACCAAAACTTTTCAATGCATGCATGTTGAGAGTGCAATCAAAAATAAGTTGATCTGAAAAATTTATTTCGCAATCTCAAATTCATTAAAAACAATGGTAAATCATATGATTGTTTTATGAAGATTCTAGTCAACATAATTCAACAGTCAATCATGAAAATCAGCCCAGAATTTTGCAGCTGAATTTTCAAAACAACGAAAAAAAACGTGAGCATGATTTTAATATAAATTCTTTTTTAAGTTTTATTGATCTCAGACTATTGTGTTTCCAAAATCAGACATCAATTGAATTCAATTTGGTTTCAATACAAAAACGATTGCAAGCACAAAAATACCAAAGTGCCAAACAACGAATATTTTATTCGTTTATTCATCATTCATTTATTGATCTACCAAAAATGGACGAAATGGAATCAACTGGACTCCCATTACTAACAATCGAATGGGATATGATGAACAAAACAAGATTTTTCGGTCTGAGTGTTGTTCATTCCATTTCATTGCGATTTTTTCTATATCCATTAACAGTGATTAAAACTCGACTTCAGGTAATGAATATCGTATCAATATTTAATTTATAATAATAATAATAATTGCTTCAAATAAAAGCTCCAAAAATCTGGCCAAGAAGTGTATCGAGGTACTGCCGATGCATTTCGTCATATCGTACGTAATGAAGGCTTTTTTGCATTGTACAAAGGATTCTGGGTGAATACAATGCAAGTCGTTTCAGGTTATAAAGATGATCTTTATTTATTGATATTGAAAAAAAGTAACGTTACTTTTACTTTCTAGGCTTCGGCTATATATTGACTTATGAAAAAGCCCGACATATACTCTCCAAAAATGATATCAATGATAATAGAATACGAGGCCTTATTGCTGGAGGTCTTGGATCTCTAGTCAGTCAAACTATAATTTGTATGTATAATTTGTTTGTTTAATTTTTCAATACATTATTGGAATTGCAAAAAAAAAAAAATCTTTCATAGGTCCATTCGATGTAATTTCACAACATTTAATGCTTTGGAATAAATCCAAACGGACCAAAATATCATCCGAATCATCATTATCATCAAAGAAATCATCGTATCATTTAAACATTGATCCAGAAACAGTTAAACGTAATGGATTGACCAAAACAGTAGTCACAGAATTGTATCGCTGTGATGGAGGATTAAGGGTAATATATTGTTTTTGATTTGATTGCCATTACTCTATTGTAATCAAATAACATAACATATATTGATAATGTCATACATAATAGGCTTATTATCGAGGTTATCTATCATCGGTTGCTACCTATGTACCAACTAGTGGTTTATGGTGGATGTTTTATCCTGTTTATTCGGAATGCTTAGTCTCTCATCTTCCTCATAATACTCCACATATGATAATACATTGTACTGCCGGTAGTCTTTCTGGAATGACCGTCGCAGGTAAGCATGATTTTGTAACAATTGCAGCATAAATACAATTAAAAATGTTTCCGTTTACAATAGCTCTTACAAATCCTTTGGATGTTCTACGAGCAAACATTCAGGTTCGACGAATTAAATCGATAGTTGTTGCAGCTCAGCTACTATGGTCCGAAGAACGATATCGGATATTCTTCAAAGGTCTCTCAGCTCGTCTTGTTCATAGTGGGCTTAGTTCTACATTTATAGCGGCAGGTTAGTGATTTTTTTTTTTTAATTTGAATGAATAATTTTTTTCACATTTATTAATTTTAACAAATAAAAATGATGAAATGATTCTTTTATACAGGTTATGAAACCTTAAAACGACTTAGTTTACATGATGAATTTCGTGATTCCATTCGTTGGTGAAGACTCTGGTCATATGTTGTTCATTATTTGTTGGTGTTTTGTTTTTCTATCAAAAAAAAAATTTTATTTCGTTTTTCCCATAATTTATAACTTAACATCAATGTTCAACTACCAAAAAGGTTGCCGACTATTGTTCTATTCATTCAAATTCTTTAGATTTTTTTTTCGAATTCTCTCATTTCATATTCACCTCAGACAAATGTACTGTGATTTTATTTCATTTTTTTTCACAAATTTTATTTTTTTTTTTTTTTTTTTTTTTGATTATTGTGTCATTCGCAGGAATCTCGAATTTTCATCAATCATTACATGTTTTAAAAATAACAGACAAAAAAAATTTGAACTAGAAAAAATTTAAATTTAAAAATTTTTAACTTTTTCTTGTAAAAAAAAACTATGATGACTATTATGATGATAATGGTTTTTTCAAATTCTGTGCATTAAGCATCTTACGATCGATGCTTGCCCTATTGAATTCCAGATACCAATCACCACAACCAACTGTTTGACCATATTCGTTCTTTAATTGTATTTTTGAATATCGAAACATCTGTTGATTAATTAACATTATAATATTGACAATGAGAATATTATTCGTTATTCATTATCATCGTGATCAATTTACTTACATTCCAAGTGGTTGAGACTGGAAAAATTCTGCTCACTTTAAACGTATACGTATTTCCAGGTAATGCTGGACATTTAATTTTTCCCCAATTTCTATGATGTGAATTGGATGATTGACAAACTTCAGGATCTTCATCTTCAACATTAATTTGATAATCAAATAGGCCACCTGTACGCAATGTACTATGTACACGAATATAGTTTGATTTTCGTTTCGGTTGAAACACAATAGTGAGATTGGCACGTTGACCTTTCTCAAAATGACATGGCAATGAATGACATGGTTCAATATCAATACTTTTGATTTCACCATTACCTAGATTTTAGAAGTAAAAATAAATTTTTTTTTTTTTTTGGAAAATAGATGGTTGAAATTCTAGAAAATTAAAAATTCCATACCACAATCATCAAAATAGACTGAAGTTGAATTTACAAAAATTAGCCATTCATTATTGATGAATAGTAACAGCAGTAATAATGGTAAGTAGATTATCATATCAATTAAACTCATTTTTTTCTAATTTCTGTATAAATTTTGTTTAGTGACTGGAAAAAACGTTTTAACAAAAAAAAACGACAAAAATTGAAAAAAATCGTTTGAATATGAGGATGATTGGTTTTTATATCTAAAAAAAAAAAAAAATGATGAATGACAACTATGACAAAAGACTTGAATAATGATGATTTATAATGATGATGGTAATCTAATTTTAATCCGGAAAAAATCATACCGGTTTGACCTAAAAAATGATCTCATTTTTTTTGTTGATGATTGTTTCCTGTCCAATTTGATCAGTAATATTACATTATGGCCAGGATAGTTGAAATTAAATCTCATGAGTTAAACGATGATGACTATGATGAGGAAAACATCGTTAATCATGGTCATGGTATTCATTTTTCTAAATTTCACACCATAAAAAAAAGTGAAATAGAAAAAAAAAATCAGTTCAGGGTTGAATTGAAAAATTATTGAAGGAAATAAAAGCTGGACAGATAAATATGAGAGGAGAAAAGACATTGATAAGATCAATTAATTTATCAAATACCCTCATTGCAGTAGTCATCAGTACAATATTTATGAGAATCTATTCAAAGACATTTTCATATCTATGGATAATGATAATGAATTTGTTGTTTTTGTTGATATTCACTTGTCATTTCTGGCTGTAGAAATCAATCAATGACATTTTTTTCAAACTTTTCATGAACAAACAAATACTCTTCAAATTCAAACAGGGATTGTCCATAATTTTTTTTTTCTTCTTCTTAGTGATAATTTGTTCGAAACAATCACAAAAAAAATTTCTCACTCTATTATTTTGTATTCACTTTTTTTTGTGTGTGTTTTGAGAATTCTACATAGAGTTGTGATGATAAATTAGAGATTCAAGTGCATTGTCAATTGCATCATCATTTACATTTATACAGTTGGTTTTATTTTGTTTTCTTACAATTCTTGAGAAAATTGCATTCAAAGTTTGAACATTTAATTTCCGTCTAATTGTAATTATTAGTTCTCATTCCTGGAATAGGCAATAATTATTACGACATAAGCATATACACATGTTTTGTTTGTTGTGTTATTGTTTTTCAATGATTTCCATTTTATTCATTAGTTATTTCGTAGTTTAAAACAAGATAAACAAATTCATTTCCTTTTTTGTTCTACTTTAATAGTCGTCGTCGTCGTCGTCGTCGTTAGTTGTTGAAGTGCGAATAAATAGTAAAATCAACCAACCGATCAATCAAAACCGGCAATAGTCAATGTCAATGCAAAAAATAAAGTTTCACGCCAATTTTTTTTTTTTTTGAAATATATCTTGCCATTTTCTTTTCTGAATTGATAATTCATTCATTCGTTATTCATTATGAAGAAACAGACAGCCATACCAGCAACAATTTTTTTTTTTTTGGAACCACGGATTTATGGTGCAAACAAATAAATGAATGATGTATCACTGTTTTAATGAATAGATAAACGAAAATATAATGTCGGACAACGAAGACCAACGAATCGATGATAATAATAATGAGAACCAGCAGCAATTTGTGGAAATTGCAGAAAACGGAATCACATCATTCACCGAAGAATTAGTATTTATTATCGAATTATTCGTACAGATTCTATTGATTTATTGTCTTTGTTATCTATGTACGATGAAAAAATTTCTAATGGATCAGATTCTTGTGCAGCCAAATCTTCTACGACAACCACCGACAAGATGGTCAGCTATCATTGTTCATTTCCGATCATCGTTATTATTTTTCGATATATTGTGATTCAATTACATTATTCAATCAATTTAAATTACATTTAATTTAACTGTGAAATGAATTTGAACAAAAAAATGTGAAAACTAAATAAAATTTCATTCTCAATTTTTCGGGTTGTATCTGCATGTAAATGTTGACTGTTTTCTATGAACAAAATTATCAAAACCATTGAAACAATGTTTTGAGTTGAGTTCGATATACCATTCGGATACAAAATGGTCTGAATAGTGATCGAGCGGCATATTATTAGTGTTTATTATAGAGAGAGTAGTTCTGAGTGAATACAAATTCAATGTCTTTCATTGTTGTGTTTTATTGATCAAATTAAAACTTTATATCATCGAATGATCTTGTTGATATTTTTGTTTTGTGTTTTGGTTATAACCAACATGTAAAAATGTTTAAATGTTTTTCATTCATGTGATAAATGAATGACTCATGTTTAAGATTAATTCGATCGAATCTTCAACTGTATTTGTAATAATTTTAACATATATGAACAATGTGTACTCAATCGATAATTTTTGATGATGACACACAGACACCATCATTTATAGAAAGAGGGAATTTGACAAACAAAAACGATTGGTGCACTGGCCCCTTCAATACTCGTAGACATTTACAAACGAAAATATACGATAACTGTGTTTAATTAGTGAAATTTGAAGCTTATTTTTTTCAATTTCAAACGCTATATTAGCTATAAAAAAAAGACCTGATAACCAGGTTCAATTGAGTTCTCAATCGTCATTTGATGGTTTGTTATGATTATATGTTCAACTGTCCAGAGTACATTTGCTCAGAACTTCATTCAATTTTTTTTATGCTCGAGTTGATTTTTTTTTGGCCAATATATTTAATTCATATATAGGAATATAGAACTATTATATTGATTAATCAACAGCTTGGCAAACAGTTATAATTGTGTGTGTATAGAAGATGATTAAAAATTCAATTCTGGATCCAGACATGGAATGGATTATAACAATGATCGAAACACATGTACCGTTTGGCCAATCTATTTGTAAGTATAAAAATAATATTTAAGATTAGAATGGAAAAAAATCAAATATAGGTCAATTGTGATAAGATTCACATTATTATGTAAATGTACTTTGATGACAAATTATCATTTTGGTTTATTAAATCATCATCATTATTATTATTAGCAAAATTTAATCATTTTTTTGTTGTTTTATTACTCATAATAGTATGGATCATATCTATGATGGCAAGTATTTACATACGAATATCTCGTTGTTTTCTCGATGGCCTAATGGATATAACGGGTTTATATTATTGGACAAAAAGAAATCAAATTCCACCAATAACAAATCCATTGTTACTGAAAACAGCAACTGAATTGGCAGAAAAAACTCGTACTGGACAGGTAAGATTTTTTTTTTTTGAATTATAAAAAATATTATCGAGTTTTTTTTTATTCCTAAATAGTTGAAATGCGAAACACTTGTTCGAGTATTCATCGATCGTATCAAACTTGTGAATCCGTTGATCAATGCTGTTGTTGCCGATTGTTTTAATGATGCTATCAAAGAGGCCAAAGAATATGATCAGCGTATTGAAAGAGCATTAAATGATCCATTGGTCAAAGATGATGTACTTGAATTGCCATTACTCGGTATACCTATTACGATTAAAGAATGCATCCCGGTCAAAGGAATGCCCAATACTGGCGGTTTATATTCACGAAAAGATTTTCGCGTCAAAGAGGATGCACAGGTCGTGAAAAATATTCGTAAATCTGGTGCGATCATCTTAGGTAAAGAAAAAAATTGTGATTTTTTAACTTTGAAAAATTGAATTTTGTAATTTTTTTTAGGTGTGACAAATGTACCTGAATTTTTGCTCTGGTGGGATACCAACAATCATGTATATGGACGAGCACGTAATCCATATGATTTATCACGAATTACTGGAGGCAGTTCCGGTGGTGAAGCGGCTATACAAGCAGCAGCCGGTGCAATAATTGGTGTTGGTTCAGATATCGGTGGTTCATTAAGAATACCTCCATTTTTTTGTGGTACATTCGGACATAAGCCATCATCGAATATGACAAATATCGAAGGAAATTTTCCATATTGTGGCCATAAATCAAGGGAAAGATTGCTAGTCAATGGCCCATTATGTCGTTATGCAATGGATTTAAAACCATTATACAAAGTGATTATCGCCGATAATGAAAAAGCAATGGCTCAACTTGATTTAGATTGTCCAGTTGATTTAAAAAAATCGCGATTCTATTTTCTTTATGAAGATGGTGATTCATTTAAAACACCTGTTTCGTCCGATATACGTGAAACATTGAAACGTGCTCGTCATTTTCTTGAAAAAGATTGTGGCTTTACTTGCATCGATGCTCAAATACCGTTGATGAAATATAATTTCTTAATATTTTTGACTACATTGGGCGATTGTGATGCACCATTATTGGGTGAAGAAATTGTTGAACGACGTGGACGATTGAATGCCTGGCCTGAGTTGATAAAATCATTGTTTGGTCGATCGAAATTTCGTAAAATTACCTGCATGAATGTGATATTAGAAAATGCCATCTATTCACCTCAAACACGACATAAACGTTGGTATCGAAAGATAATAGACATGGGAAAACAATTGGGTGAACAATTGGATTCAATGTTAGGTATTGTATCAATAACATTTTTGAAAATTATCATTGATTTTTTTATTATTTCACAATAGAGGATGGTAGCATCTTGATTATGCCATGTCTACCGGAAAAAGCACCAAAACATAGCGGAACATTTTTACGTGTAAACAATTGTGGCTATACATCCGTATTCAATGTATTGGAAATGCCCGTTACACAGGTTTCAATGGGTATTGGTCATCGATCCAAGATGCCCGTTGGTTTTCAGATAATAGCGAAACGTTTGAATGACCGTTTTACACTAGGTTTGTTTGTTTGTCTTTCGATTCAATCAAGAAAAGTAATCGTAATTATGTTTATCGGTTATAGCTGTGGCTGAGTTATTAGCCAAAGAATTTGGCGGTTGGCAACCACCTTGTGAAGTTCGAATTAAATGAACAAATTGAATCAAAATGAATCAATCAATAAAATCTAAAATGACAATATCATGTTATTATTTTAAATGTGTCAAATATTTGAACAATTGCAGGTAAAAATAAATTGAATTTTTCCTCAACAGATGCTGTTATTGTAGATCATTTTTCTAAAAAAAATTCAAGCAACAGTAACGCCATAAAGCGTCGAAAATAGTCATTAAAAACATTTAAAAATAAAGAACATTCAATATATTGAAAGGATTATACATAAATTAGGACAAAAACAAGAATCCATCTTGATTTCATTATATTCCGGATCTAAATAAATGAGATTTTATACAAATTAACATCAAAAAAAACAATTATTATTACATTTGATTGTTAATTATTTACAGATATTTGATTATTAGCCTGTTTTCCAGTGTTGTATGAAAAAAAAAAAAAAAACGGTAAATGAAAATATAATCTAGGCTATGAGGATATTGGATTTTTTTTCCTGGTCATCATGTGTTCCAATTATTTCTTTATCGATATCATCATCATTCGATTTATTGCTAATAAATTGGTTTGTCTTTGTCATTGTCATCATCATCATCATCATTATTTTCACTGATTTTGGTGTCATGTCAATGCAATAATTAATTTTAATGAAACGAACAAAAAAAAAATCAAAATTAAATCTAGTAATAATAATCTACTTTATCGACTTTAGGATTTTCAATTTTTTTTTTGAATTGTCAAATCAAGGTTATTTATAATATGAAATTTAATTTCATACAATTTATGCTTTCTAGATGTGTTTTATTTGTAATTGATTTCATTCGGACATAAATTTTTCTATTGAATCCAAAAAAAAAATTAATCGTAACAGTAATTTGATTGATAAGCATTACATCACGTTATCCAGAGAACGAACAAAAAAACAGATTGTTATTATTAACCACAACGACGACAACAACGTCAGCCAAAACAAAAACAAAAAAAAAAAATGTCAGCATTCCTAAACATTATTTGGTGCATACAAACGAACCAAACCAAAAAAAACCGAAAAATATAACGGCAATGAAGAATTTATGAATCTCAAATCAAACTTTTATAATAAATCATATCTGATTGATTATTACGATGAAAAATTTTGGAGAATAAAAAAAAATTGAAAACTTTTTTTTTCTTGTTAGGCCGATACAATCTAATAAATGAGATTTTTGTTTTCCCGGTAGAAATTCTATACAACCAAAAAAAAAAAAAATAATGAAATATATAGAAATGGTGAAATTGTTTTTCAATTTGATTTTTCCTCATAAAAAAAGTAAGAGAAACTTTTGAATTTCATTGGCTCCATCATCATCATCACTAGTCGCTAATGATGATAATGATTATGGCGTTAATTTTTTTTCCATTTCATAAATTAAAAATTATATATATGTGATCATTTATTGAGCAATTTTTATGTGTGAAGAAAAATTCTTTATAGAAAAAAAAGGAAAATTTTATCATTACGAATTATTCGAATGTAATTCGAGTATATCGAATAATAATAATGAAAAAAAATCGATAATTCACCACATTGATGATGATGATGCGATTTGTTTTTGATTTGTCCTGTTTTTATCTTTTTGTTTGTACATTTGATTATTTTATAGATATAAAAATAGAGTGGAGACAAAAAAAACTTTTCCAAATTAATACAAACGACATACATTTTTTTTTCCTGTATCTATTTTTCACACTCTGTCTTTATAAATGACATGACAATTTTTTCTTTTCTTCTTTTCAATTTGAGTTTCACAAACTTCATGGTTGGTAGTTTATATTCGATAGCATTAGCACATCATTATTATTATTATCATCATCATCATCATAATGATAATGATTAATCAAATTAACAGCGGAATAAAAAAAACCTTTGGACAAGCAATGAAAAAAAACGACCCTTCGATGTTTCAAAACTGGAATTATTTTTGAAACATAAATATCGCGCTGGCGCATACAACAACGATGAAAAAAAATCGGGTCTTTATTCTGATTAACAATATTCGATAGGGTAAAAAAACCAACATTGTAGATGTTCTACAATGTTCTTCGTTGCCGTAACAGAGCAATATACAGTGTTCGAATATCCACACACACACACACATACATACACATCCATATACATAGAAATAGCGATAAAAACAGACAGACAAAATTTTCTGGCACCAAAACATCAAAATATTGTTGTTGTCTTCGCAAAGTCACCCACCACCACCACCCACCATCAACAACATATGATGATGATGAGAATACCAGACGCACATTGAATAAAGTAAAGCGGCGGGAACTTTATATGTGCCATACACACGCAAAAAAAATAATATATTGGCCATTACAAATCTTCATAGGATTTGTCATTCTAGGCCACAATAATATGGCATAAAGTTTCTCCCCTTTCAATCCATCTATATCTATAATCCAATCGATCTATGTATTGATGAGAGATTTCATCTAAAAAAAAAAAACAAACAAAAACAAAATAAAAAACATTTTCATCAGCACGATCATAATAATAATAATCATTATTATTAACATCAACAATCGTTAATTTCAAAATCATCGTCATCATCATCAATTGTTATTTGTAGTTATCGTTTATCCTTAAATTTGTATGTTTGTGTTTCTCTCTTTCTCTCTCTCTGTGTTTATTTATTCTATATAAATTTTTTTTTTGTCATTTTATTTTTCTGGATTGGATCTTTAACAAGAAAAAAAAATCGATGTACATGTTTGTAATTGTATTTGTGTGCTGTGTGCTGTGTGTGGGTGGATGTTTCCATATCCACCGTGTCGTAATATTGTTTGAATTTTCAATTTCGTTGTTGTTCTTCAATATATATAATATACTAGCCGCTGGATTGATAATCGGATTTCTATCATTTATAAAAAACAAATGTTATTGATTTGAAATTGCAACCGCTTCTTTGTGTGTGTGTGTATGTATGTATGTATGATCACGACCATCATCATCATCATCATCATCATCATAATTGTTGATCTTGATATAATAGAGTTGGAAACATCAAAACAATTTTCCAGCAATAACTCTTCCAATAACCTATTATATATGTTCAAATTTCATTCCATTTAAAAGTTAGATCTGAATAAGATTTTAACTCTTTCGTTTCTATTGATTTTTGTTTGATAACAGAAAAAAAATTTACTATTTGATTTTTCTTCTTTTGTTTTTGACTTGGAAATAGATTTTTTTTTCGTTTGTTTGTTTGTTTTTTTGGTTTCTGAAAAATATTTTTTCTCGTGTATTTTAAATACTGTTCAATCAACCATATAAAAGTCTACAGAAAGTGAAAATAGAGAGATAGAGAGAGTGAAGCAAAAAAAAATGGCAAAATTATTTGCAATAATAATCTTATTATCCTGTTATTACATCTCAACCGGTAAGTTTTATTTGCGTCTATCGCATTATATTATTGTATATATATATATGTGTGTGTGTGTGTGTATTTCGACAACGACAAACTATTAAACTATTCGACATTCAAACATTTTCAAACGGAATTTTGCATGAATAACGAAAATTCTATGAAAAAAACAATTTGATTCAATTCATTTTTTTTCTACTTTTCCTTTCATTTTTGTCAAATTGACATGTCAAATTCAGCGTTGACAGTAATAACAATGAACTATAGTTAATCGAAAGTTAGTCGAAATAAGAATTTGTTTTTCTCTCGGTTCTTTTTTTTCGGTTTGTATATTTTTTTTTGTTTGATTCCGTTTGCAATCCGGAATTCTATCTTTATCATGAATGTCGAGGACGTTTTTCAATTTATATTCATGCTAACAATAAAAGACAAAATGAGAGAGAAAGAGAGAGGGAGATGAATGACGATTCTGTCTGTCTATGCTTTTCTGAATTTGGGGAATTGCAGAATAATAATAATAATAATTCTAGACCACAAAAACTGCATACATATAGAATTCATTGAAAAAAAAACAATAATTCAGTCAGTCAGTCAAGGCCAATGATTTTATATTACATCCTAATTTTCTTAAAATAAATTTCCTTTTCATTAGGTCAAATGTGGTTATGATTTATAGTGATTATGATGATGATTGTCAAAAAAAGAAAAGGAAAAAAAATATATTATGTTTTATCATCTCGTTGATTCAAAATATACTACTAACTAATACTTGTGACGTAAATAGTTTTCACATTTTTTTTTTGTCTGTTCTTGGCAAAATTATACTAATCGATTCATCAAGATGAGGTTGCGTCGGAATTTTTTGTATAGACAAACGTAAAAACAAAAGAAAGACAAGCACCAACAATCAAGATGATTAATGGATCATTCCATCAATTGGAATAGAGTGAAAATGATAGATAATAAAACTTGGATTTTTTGAAATATCGATAAGATTATTGAATAAATGAATGAAATCATTAGCCACCAAAAGTGATTAATATTAATTTTTCTTTTTCATTTCTTTTCTTTTCTTGTTCAATTAGCCATAGCTTCCGATTGGAGTTATAGTGGTAAGTGGATTTTTTTTTACATTAATCATATCATAGACAGATAAAACAAACAAATGTAATCAATCGGATATTGAAATATTGTCCGGATACAAACACACACACACACACTTGACATTATTATTGAAGTTCAAATCACTCACTAATTGGATATAAAAAAAAATTTTTTTTTTTTGTAGATCAACAAAGTTGGGCAAATGGTGAAAATCAATGTGATGGTAGTAGTCAATCACCAATCGATATAAATACACAGGAAGTTTATTACAATGGTACATTAAAATTGGATTTCATCAATTATGATCATCCATTAATTAGCTATAAAGTGACCAATAATGGACATTCAAGTATGTGATATTTTCATATTTAAGAATTTTATCTTGAAATTTAAATAACTTTTTTTAACCATAACACAGTACAATTTGATTATACGGGTGATGTTGGCTCAGCACCGGCAATCACTGGTACCGTATTGAATAATGAAATATTTCGTCTTGCACAATTCCATTTCCATTGGGGATCGGCTAAACATATTGGTTCTGAACATAAAATTAATGGACGTGCATTCCCAGTAGAGGTATTTACAAGAATATATCTATCAATACAATGCAAATAATCCATCAATTTTTTTTCATTTTGGATATATAGTTACATCTAGTACATTATAATCATGCAAAACATGATACATTAAGCAAAGCTTTAGAAGCTCGTGATGGAAGTGTTTCAGTATTGGCCGTATTCTTCGAGGTTCGATACATCCTATAACATTGTTTTTTTGGTTTCGTTTTTTCTTGTTTCCAGTTAATGTGTGTGTGTGTCTATCTTTGCCTGTCCTTGTTTGTAATCCAGGAATATTCTCAAAAAAAAATCTGATTTAAAATTTAAATTAACCATTACCGGACAGCTTTATTTGCCGTTTTCTCAGCCAGGATTTCATTTTTAGCATATTATTATAAAATTAATTTTGCTTGATTTTTTTTCATTTCTTTCTGCCTAATTAGATCAAAAAAATGAATCCTGGATTTGAAGTTGTAGCCGATATGATTGACAAATTACAGGAAGCCACACCGGAACAAAGTCAATTCATGCGCGAAACAATCACACTACAGAATTTATTACCTAAAAATTCGGAAAAATTATATCGTTATCATGGATCATTGACTACACCACCATGTACAGAAGGTTTAGTATGGCTCATATTGAATCAACCAAATGAGATTGGCCGCTCACAGGTAAGTGGAATAAAAAAAAATTCCTAATCAGTTTAGTGTTTGAAATTCTAAAACTTTGAATTATTTAGTTCGAAAAATTCTTGGGCGTAATTGATTCACATTCTGGAGAAAAAATTGCCAATAATTTTCGTAAAATTCAACCGTTGAATGGAAGAAAAGTGGAATCATCATTTAAACCGGATATGGTCAACAAAGGTTTTGTTCATATGGCTACTAGTTCGACTATCATAGTGAGCTTGCTCATGATATTTCTGTCCATAGTTGGTATTTCACCGCTGTTATCCATCCAATGATGTGTTTATGGCTGTATAACCGAGGACAAAGATCGATTGAATTTTTGATTGATATGGATTTATGGATCTAATACAATCATTATACATACAAAAAAAAATTGTGATCAATATACTGACAGTCTGACGATTATCTTATATATATGAATACGAGGAAACTCTCAATTCTCATTCTTTCATTTACATTTTATCGTTCTTTTATATAAATGAAAAAGAAACCTATATCTTAATTTGTGAAACAAAACAAAAAAAAATCGAAGTAAAAAAACGATTTCCATGCATAATTTGTCCACGAACAATATTTCGATTTTTTTTTTGTTTGTAATAATCACATAAAAAATGTTGATGTAATTTTAGAATTTTCTTTTTAGTTTGTTAATTCTCATATATATATAAAATGAAATTCAATTCACCAAACAGTTATTAATATTTCTAATTTTGTGATTTTTGTTCATCTTTTGTATAATTGTTTTGTATTGACGAAAAAAAAACGAATAATGGACATGATTAAAGGTTTGGAACAGATTGGCACTGTACTAAGTGAGATTGTTTCACAAAAAGCTCAACAACAAAACGATGGTAATAATGATGAACAAAATCAAAAACCACTGGGAAAACAACGATTACGATTTATTAATCAAAGTGTATGTGATTATGATAAAATTGTTGCCAATCTTATTGATTATTTTAAAATAAATTTACCATTGAAAGAATTTGAGCCATTGAAGGAAAAAATCGATAAAATTATTGATGAAGAATGTAAAATTTGTGAATTAATAATGTATCTAATAAGACAAACTGAATCTGATATAGATGAAAATGCTAAAATGTTTGAACAGGTACTGGTGTTTTTGGCCGAAATTCCACAGACTGTACGTGAAAATTTAATGGAAATGAATAATAACGATAACGATCACGAAAACAAACTGGATGATGATATTAGATTCAAAATACAATTTGCAATCAATCAATTATCATTAATGGTATATGATTCAATACAAATGTTACAATCAATAATGGATAAATTGATTGAAATATGTAATCTATATCATATACCATATTATTATGAAACAAATGATTATTATATTAAATTTCGAAGATCCATATTGATAACATATGAAAATCTATGCACAATTATTGAAGATTTTCAAACATTAAGCTATTCTCTATGGATGGTACGTCATTATGAATCAGTGATGATGTGTTCACTCAATGATGATGATGAATGATAAAAAATGAATGTTTTTTTTTAAAAAAATCTTTAAAAAATTTTTAAAAATAAAAAGTATTTGTCGATTGTTGTTTGAAACAAAAAAAACAAAACTGGTTCGAAAAATAAACTAATCAATTTACAACGGCCAAATTTTCGCGATGCAGGCAGCAGTAGTCATGAGTTTAATTGAATTATATATAATGGTCACAAACTAATTTCGATCGATCCCTTTTTCAATTAAACTTGGAAGTTTTATCGATTTCTGTGAAAAGTTTAAACACTGCTTGTTGTTGTTGTTGTTGTCGAATGAAAACAACAATAATTGTGTTGATTCTAAAAATGGATTCATTGAAAAATAACTTTCATTGTGATAAAATAACTTTTATGGTCAGAATATTAAAAATGGTGTTGAGTGAGAGTATAGAAAGTTATTAATCGCAAATCGATTCAGTTCATCGATCGGCTAATTACTTTACTTTCATCATCATCATTGTTGTTGTTGTTGTTGTTGTCGTATCCAATGTGGTCATTGTGTTTTTTTCTGGTCATCTAGTCAATCTATATAATCATTATTATTGTGTGTTGTTAAATAGAAATAAAGGGAAAACATTCTCGAGCATTCATTTCTCTTTTTTAAAAAACAACAACGACCATCGATCGATCTTCGAATTTCGGTATCATCATCATCATCATCATCGAAAGTCCAACCAACAAAACCAGACAAACAAAAAAAAACATAAAACATTTACAAGAGCGAAATACAAAAACAAAAAATTGAAGCCATTGTTCTTTTACTCTTATCCAAACCGTTTTGAAGATGATCCATTCCATTCCAGTTTCATCATCATCATCATCATCACCATTATTATCATGATTGTTGGACTGTTATATGGAGATGCTCTAAATTTATCGCAAACACTTTTTACCGAATAAATATAACAACAACAACAACAACAACAATAATGATAATAAACAAAATGATTGTCCTTGTTGTTGGCCATATATAACAATAATAAATGGAATGAATAAAATTTTTTCATTCAAATGAAAAAAAAAATCCCGAAACAATCAAGGTAAAGAGAGTAAAAGCAGCAGCTGAAGACAAATAAAATTGGTTGATTCAAACAGTATTTCAAGGTGCGTTATTTATTTATTCATCTACTATTTTGTTTACTCCCCTTCCCACACACACACACACACACACACACACACACACCTGTTACAATAATACCTCCTGTGCTGTGAAAAATTTGAACTCTCACTCATTGAACTCATTCACAACAATTTATTATTATGAATATAATCGATTGGATTATAATCACTAAAAACAACAATAACCAAACAATCAAATCTCAGTGTGTGAAAATATGTTCATATATATATTCTCCAGTAGAATCTCACTCTTAAATATTGCGCTCAATCCATCATCTGGTTTGGCATTAAAACTTTCGATCTGGATTTTGTTTTCTTTTCTTTATTTTCAAAAAAAAAAAAATTCACCTTCAATGATAATAACACCTCCAACATCCATAACCACACACACACACACACACATGTATATATAGAAAAAGGTAGATATAACAATAGAGATTAAAGTTTTGATCTAAATCTTCAAACTTGACACTTTTACACCATGACCACCACCATCATCATCATCATCATCATCATCAACATTGGATGAGATTTGTTTGATGTGAGGTCAAAAAAAAATGTATTGTATTGTACGATTTTCCAGAAAACAACCTATTACAATTATAACATACAAACATACATCAAATAATAATGATAATGGACAATACCGAAATTTTTTTTTTTTTTTATTTTCTACACTCTTATTGACAAATAAAAATAATAAAAATAGATTCAAATCAGGGGCGATAACCATCAACAATCCATCATCAAATTTAACGAGAAAAAAAAATTAAGAAAATTCAAACAAGATTATCCATCAACATTTAAGTTTTGTCAATAATTTTCTATGGATAAAAATATTTTTCCAATTCAAATTCCATAAAAAATGATATGATTTCCGATACACGCACGAAATCCATTTTTATATATATATAGAAAACAACACAGATCGATGATTATCTCAATGACGATGATGATGATGATGATGATGATGAGAAATGAATTGTTTTAAGTAATAATTTTATGATGATCTGATTGAAATTGATCATCACACAATTGGATTGAACAACAAAAAAAAACAACAATTACATTGATTTGATTCAATCAATAAAATAGACTAAAACATCTATAGACAGGCATCATATTGATTTGATAATGATGATGAACCTTAATATTATGTCTGAATACAAGAATGGTGTCAAATGATTGATCTATCTTTCTGTTTTTTTTTTTTTGTTTCATTCATGTTTATCTCGAAACAAAAGAACAAAATCTAATTTAGAAAATTTGAAGAGATTGTAAATATTTTTGGAATATATTTGAGTGTGACAAATAAGAACAAAAACCATTTGCACGTTTTTGTCAAATACACGGTTGTCATTTTGGTAATTTTTTTTTGTTTGAAATATGAACAGAAACAAAGTGAGAGAGAGAGAGGGGGGAAGAGAACAAACAATTCAATAATTGAGTTTCGATTTGGACACAAGAAGAAGAAAAAAATAAAAAGAACAAATTGGTCATTTTTTTGTTTTGTTTTATTTTTATACCCACAAAAGCGAATATAGAAAAACAAAGATCAAATCAACTATTTGTGATTATATTTACTGTCAAATATACACACACACACAAACATTATGATCAGATGGTGGATACACAACGATAATTGACATTCACTGAATGGAACAGGTTGATGGCCATGGCCACAAATATCTATCATGCAATCTGTATAATTCATTCTGTGTATTGCATATGCAAAGAAAAAAAATTTTTATTTTTGAATTCTAAATTATCATCATCATAATTAATGGTTTTGGAACGAAAAAATATAAAAGAAATAAAAAGTGATCTAGACATCCTAATGATGATTTTCATCCATGATGATGATGATGATGATGATGAATAAAAGATGTGAATTTATTTTTTTTTTATATAAAGCAAAAACTTTAAAATTAAAAAAAAAGAATGATTACACAAAATATCTTTTTTTCTTCTTCTACAATCATGAATGACACAATAATGATACATTTGTGTATGTTTGTAAACATCAATAATAATGGGTGGATTCAAATAATTGTTTGGTCAACCATTGAAATTAAAATGTTTACAGAAAAATTGTAAAAAATGCAAAGAAAATTATTTAGAAAAAATTACCGAATAGAAAACGTGAAAAACCAGAACCCAGACAATAGATTCAACATATTAAACCGTACCAAAAAAAAACAGCATTTGACTATGAATAGATGGACAAAAAATAAACTATTCTATATAGTAGTAGAAATTATTATTATCAGTATCATCGTTTGATGATGACGATCATCATCATCGTCGTCATCATGATGATAAAAAGCGTGAAGATTTCATTTCATTTCATTTCATTTCAATTTTTTTTTAAATTGACTAAAAATAGGTAGATGAAAATAAAAATTGAAATCGAATGCTATGAATGATGATGATGATGATGATGGGAATTCTAAAAGTCTCACACGGATATTTTTGTTGTTGTTGTTGTTGTTGTCATCACTTGAACAGTGATAATCTGGCATCACATTTTATTCACTACTAAAATATACATATTATTATCGAATCATTTTTACCATTTCAACAACTAAATAAATTATTTACAATTTCCTTGGTGAATTTAAAAAAAAAAAAATTCATTTGATTTGACAACAATGTAAAAAAAAAACAAGAAAAATAACCATTTGCATCAATCGAATATTCAGGATATGATGATGATAATTTAAATTCAATATAAATAACGGGAAATTTCTTTTAAAATACTTGAAAAAAAAATTTTTCGAAAAAAATTCTCACGCTCAATCATTGTTATATCACTTCCCTCCAACAGTGATTCGTAAATTGTCATTTATAAAAAAAATGATGAAAAAAAAAATTTCAATTTCTTCAACTACCAAAAAAAAAAAAAAAAAAAAAAAAAAAAAATTTCTTGAGTTCACCACCACCACCACCACTACCTGCACCATATTGTCATTATTGACTTGGTATATCAAAAGATAAGAAATTCTTATATGTGTTTTTGATAAACACCGATAATAATAATAATAATAATGATAATGAAGGTTCAAATTATAATCAAATAAAATGAAATAAAAATCTAAAAATTTATTGGCTTGGAAAAAAATCAGATTGACCAACTAACTTACTGACTGACTGACTGATTGAATGAATAAATGACCGACCCGAATCATAATGGTCTATTGACCGACTGTACTTTTTTTTATTCATCATTATTAGTGACAGAAAAAAAATTCAAGCACTTTCCACCATGATCATAACAATCATTATAAACCCGTACATTATGATTGTTGTGGTGGCCACACCATCATCATCATCATGGTCACACTATAGTGTTTGAATCTTTTTTTCAGAAAAAAAAGATAAAAGGAACGCGACCACAACGACAATATTTGGTTTCTCTTCATAGGTTTCGATTTCTATTGTATTTCTTTTCTCTTTTATTATTTTCTTTGGGTAAACAGATTCTCTTCATCAAATTTGTGTATTTTCTGTTTTGCATTGTCATATCTTGGTTGCATCATCATCATCAAAAAAACCGTTGTTATTATTTGTTGCTGACCGAATCTGCTGATCTTGTCCATTCTCTTCATATATTTGGGTTTCTCTTTCTGGTATATTCCCTATGTCTATTTCTCTTTTTGCGTTGTCGATTGAAACGACAAAAAAAATTTTTTTTTTTTGCTGTCGATAATTTTTTACACACAATGTACATAACGTGTCGATCCAATGAATTTTTTTTTCATTGTATGTATGAAAATCTTTTTAACAAAAAAAGATGCTTTCAAATTTTTCAAATCCTTTTTCAACTAAAACATGTCGGTCCTGAAATCGAATTTATTCGTACAA